AAACTACTTTTTATTGAAACCCATCTAACTATCTAATTTTTAGATAACTTGCCAAAATTTTTGTCGAACTAATTTTGATTAGGTCCAGAAAAATGTATATTAATACGCCAGTTCGAAAACATTTTAATAGAATGATGTATCTATATACAGAATATGGGAGTTGTGACCAATTATGGACTGATCAGGAAACAATTTTATATAATGATTTATATGCAGAAAAAGATCAAGTCTAATTTTACTCCAATAGCTTTATTAATCAATGAAATGTGTGCGACTTTATATAGGAGCTATGAGCAATTAAGGGCCTATCCGGAAAAATTTCGCAGAGTGATTCATCATATTTTATATTTTATCAAGATATCTTTATTTGATAATTAAGTATGTGCGTTTAAGGGATTTTTTGAAGTGGACCTATTACCAAATATGGACCGATCCAGAAAAAATTTGGTACAATGTTTTATATGCCTATCCGCAAAAAATTTCGTAGAGTGATTAATGTAAAGATAAAACATATTTGTGTCGAATTTTCTCAAATTAACTTTATTTGACATTGAAATATGTGAGTTTAAGTGACTCTCAGAAGTGGACCTTATATAGAAGCTATGACCAATAATGGACCGATCCGAGAAAAAAGTGGTAGAATGATTCATATGTACACAAAACTTATTCAAGTCGAATTTTACCCCTATAGCTTTAGAATTCAATGAAATATATGCGTGTAAGTGATTTTCGGAAGTGAACCTTATATGGGAACTATGACCAATTATGGGCCTATTCGGGAAACATTTCGCAGAGTGATTCATATTTGGACAAAACATGTTTGTGTCGAATTTTATCAAGATAGCTTTATTTGATAATGAAATATGTGCTGTTAAGTGATTTTCGTAATTGAACCTTATATGGGAGTTAAAAAATTTATAAAATGTTTTGTACGTACACAAAACATATTCAAGTCGAATTTTATCCCAATAGCTTTAGAATTCAATGAAATATATGCGTTTAAGTGATTTTCGGAAGTGGACCTTATATGGGAGCTATGACCAATTATAGGCCTATCCGGAAAAAATTTCGTAGAGTTATTTATGTTTAGGCAAAACATATTTGTGTCGAATTTTGTCAAGACAGCTTTACTTGACATTGAAATATGTGCTTTTAAGTGATTTTCGGAAGAGGGCCTTATATGGGAGCTATGACCAATAAGGGACCGATCCGTAAAAAAAATAGTGAAATGATTTGAGTGCACACAAAACATATTTCTGTCGAATTTCATCAAAATAGCTTTAGAATTCAATAAAATATATGCGTTTAAGTGATTTTCGGAAGTGGACCTTATATGGGATCTATGACCAATTATGGGCCTATCCGGAAAAATATTCGTAGAAAGATTCATGTTTAGGTAAAACATATTTGTGTCGAATTTTATCAATATAGCTTTACTTGGCATTGAAATATGTGCTTTTAAGTGATTTTCGGAAGTGGGCCTTATATGGGATCTATGACCAATTATGGACCGATCCATAAAAAATTTTGTAGAATGATTTGTATGTATAAAAAACAGAATTGTGTCGAATTTTATCCCGATAGCTTTATAATTCAATGAAATATATGCGTTTAAGTGATTTTCGGAAGTGGACCTTATATGGGAGCTATGACCAATTATTGGCCTATCCGGAAAAAATTTCGTAGAGTGATTTATATTTCTACTAAATATACTTGTGTCGAATTTCATCAAAATAGCTTTAGTTTACAATGAAATATGAGCTTTTAAATGATTTTCGGAAGTGGGCTTTATATGGGAGCTATGACCAATAATGGACCGATCCGTAAAAAAATCGGTAGAATGATTTGCATGTATACAAAACATATCCATCTCGAATTTTATCACAATAGCTTTATTCATCAAAGAAATATGTGCGTTTAGGTGATTTTCGGAAGTGGACCTTATATGGGACCGACTGAGATCTACGTTGACAATATGATTTCTGTTCATATTACATTTACATGTACAAAATTTCGTGTTGATACCGATATATTTGAGGGAGTTATTAACGATAAACTAATTTCCGGGAATATATACCTTTGTATGGGGGCTATGGGAAATATTGGACTGCCCTGAAAAAATAATGTGTGACAAAATTCATCGAAATATCTTTGAAATATGAAAAAAACGTAATTTTTTTGGAGGTAGTCTGAAATTTGTACTCATAACTTTTTACGTTGTGAACCGATTTTGCTGATTTTCAATACCAAACTGCTTAGGATAATAATAAATATTTTGGGTGAATTTGGTTTATTTCCAGACAGACAGACAGACAGACAGACAGACAGACATAGCTAAATCGACTAAGAATTTGATAAGGACCCAGAATATATATACTTTGTTGGGTCTTAGATGAATATTTCTTGGTGTTACACACGGAACGACAAACTTATATATACCCTCTATCACCACTGATGGTGGTGGAGGGTATAATTATATTATTACCAATTGTTGCTTAATTTTGACCAATTAAATTGCGATTATTACTTCCGAGTCCATGGAAAGTTAGTTCTAATCAAATTTTCGAAACTAAAAATCATTAACCCTCTAAACACCGGGGTCAAAATCAAATTTTTGAATTTTATATTCTTGAAGAAATAAGAGCTTGATGTTGTTAATTTGTTGATGGATATTGATGAAACTTCTTAGAAGTTATTTTTACTACATTCAAATAATACGATAAACCAAATACTGGATATATATCCATTAAATCTTTAAGAAAATTAATTTTAGAAAATTCCTTTTTAAAGGTGTTTTTTGTAGTGTTTAAAAAATCGGTCTTGAATTGACCCCAAGTATGACAGAGGGTTAATTTTTGAAGAAGTTTGATTCCTAGATTTCTGGATATATTTTCGTGTAGTTTGTCAAAATGAATTCATAATTAAATACACAATATTTTGCTATTTTTAATGAAGAATATTAAATATACAAAAACTTGATTTTGACCCCGGTTTTCAGAGGGTTAATGATTTTTAATTTCGGAAATTTTATCAGAAAAAACTTTTCATGGACTCGGAAATAATAATCGCAATTTAATTGAACAAAATTAAGCAACAATTGGTAATAATATAATTTTTACTTAATTATTGGCAAAAATTGCCTTTTTCCCGAAATCCTTCAAATTCACATCGCAGGTACGGTAAAACTATGAGAGGTATTCATTCTTTCTGTGTTTAATTCTTATATATATCCTTTATAATATCCAGCATAGAAAACTTTAATTTTTAATAATCCATTTAACAAAATTTTTTAAAATTTTAAAATGGAGTTTTGGAGATGCTGTTAAAATAATGGCCCTTTTTTGACCACAGACTAAACCGAGTAAGCGTTATCCAATTTGAACAAAAATTCGTACTAGCACATTTATGAACCTTATAAAGATAAACATAATATTTTTTTGTAAAATTTTTCAAAACTAACAAAAATTTTCTTATATTTACTTTTATATGTCTTCAGAATCACAAAATTCTCGGGGGAAATTTTAATAACTCAAAACTTTTTTAACCAATTTATAATTGAATAATATTTTACAGTCTTCCATTTGACGTTAAAATACAACATAATTTCACTATTAGATGTTGATCCGAGCGAAAAGCCTATTTTCGACCCACCCTAATATACATACATACAATAACAAAATCTCACAAAAAAATCATCAAAATGCTTAAATTTAAATCAATTTTTATTTAAAGAAAATATCTAAATTTATAAGTATAGTAATTTATAATTTTATAAATTTTAAATTAATTAACAATTTCTATTAGCAATAATTATCAATTACTTTGTTTACTTTTGTCAAATTTAAACACAAAAACATACAATATACTAAAACAAATTGCATACAATAACAAAGTCTTACTGAACAAACAACCCATCAAGTTTTATTGTTCAGTCAGCTTGATTTGTACTAACCAGTCAAACTATCAGTTTTTTTTTTTTTCGTCCCTTAGTAAGAAAACGAAACCAAGAACTAAACAATACGTAAGCAGCACACGCAAAACTGTTTTTACAGTTCAGTCGTTGTGTTCAGTTCGGCTGAGTTGAAAAACTTAACATGGCCGCTGCTTGTGTGTGTGGCTGCTGAAGAAAAACAAAACCACTTGCAAGTTATTGCAGCAATGTGTTGACACAGTTGACTGACTTCAGTTAGCTTGTGAGGGAAAAATAAATACTTGAACTTTCTTCAGTTCAGTCGACACTTAAAAAAATAAAACTAAAAACTAAATATTAAACCCTGCCATTCATACCAATCGTTTAGTATTCGTTGCTTTTGAGAGTATTCATTGGCATTTATAATCGAAAAAATAAGCATTCAAGTACAAATGTATGTATGTATGTATGTATGTATGTATGTATGTATGTATGTATGTATGTATGTATGTATGTATGTATGTATGTATGTATGTATGTATGTATGTATGTATGTATGTATGTATGTATGTATGTATGTATGTATGTATGTATGTATGTATGTATGTATGTATGTATGTATGTATGTATGTATGTATGTATGTAGTATGTATGTATGTATGTATGTATGTATGTATGTATGTATGTATGTATGTATGTATGTATGTATGTATGTATGTATGTATGTATGTATGTATTGTATGTATGTGTGTATGTATGTGTGTATGTATGTATGTATGTATGTATGTATGTATGTATGTAGTATGTATGTATGTATGTATGTATGTATGTATGTATGTATGTATGTATGTAGGTGTGTATGTATGTATGTATGTATGTATGTATGTATGTATGATGTATGTATGTATGTATGTATGTATGTGTATGTATGTATGTATGTATGTATGTATGTATGTATGTATGTATGTAGTATGAGTGTATGTATGTTATTAATGAAAACTAATACCACAAATAAAAGCTAGATCCTATTAGATAACTTTCTAAATTAATATTTATTTATTTCTGTGAATGAATAATAAAATGCGCTTACCATCATTAATCGGTAATTTAGTTTGTGGAATAAATGATGAATCTCCAAATTTTTTAAGTTGTTGATACATCTCCTCGGATTCTATTAACTTCGCTTGCAACTTTTCAATTTCCAGCAAGTAACCTGCAATCATATTTTTAATAGTCTGATCTGTATCTGTTATCGACGAAAAGGCATTCATTTCTTTTTCTAATAACAATTGTGTATTTTTCTCTGTAAGAACATTTATAGTTTCCTGCATTGATTTTAAACGTTGCTGGAGTCGTTTGTTATCATGCAATAACAATTCATTTTCGTAAAATGTATCCGATATAGAGGCATTCCCGTTATTATCCACTAAACGTTTGCCCTGAAATTAAAAAAAAAAAAAACTTTGTCACATGAATAAAAAATTTACAATATTTATAATTTTTAAAAAAATTATTCGATTATCAAACGAATGACGAATAAAAGTTTTTGTTAGAATGATTTAATAAAATCTAAAATATTAAACGAAAAACATAAAGATAGTTATAACTCAGCAAAATTTTTGCTTACAATGATTACCATTAAGTACTTAATTAATGACTTACTTTGTAGGTAAAGTCTGAAAAAATCAAAATAAAGAATCAAACAAAAATAAAACAGTTACGTTTTCTGTTTTTTCCTTTTTTTGTGCACACGATATCAAATATCTACTTTTAGACAAACAGAAAATAAAATAGTATTTGCGTGTGAAAACTATTATTTGACGCAGTCTGTGTCAACTTTTTATTATACCCTTCACCTTTATTATACCCTCACTCCTATATAAGTTTGTCATTCCATTTGTAATTTCTATAAAATAATTTTCCGACCCTATAAAGTATATATATATATATATATAGATATATATATATATATATATATATATATATATATATATATATATATATATATATATACATATATATATATATAGATATATATATATATATATATATATATATATATATATATATATATATATATATATATATATATATTTTGGATCCTTATATATAGCGGAGTCGA